AGGGTTTACAGAAAATGGTCTGAAAAAGAGAAAATATCCAGTGAGCGGCAGTTGTGTGGATGAAAATGCCTTGTTGATGTCAAAGGAGAATGGACAGACTGGTTCGAGATGATATGAAAGGCAATAGTAACTCATGTCAATATGGACCAAAATCTCTGAGGAATGTTTCCTATACTTTGCTGAATCTATGCCACAAAGAATTAAGGCAGTTCTAAAGGCAAACCCCGTACTAGCAAGGTGTACCTAATAAAGTGGCTGGCAAGTGTATAACAGTAAGCTTTAGGCCTCATGCACACAGAGTTTAAAGCAGAATTCCACCCCAAAGGGGAAGTTCCGCTTTAATGCTTTGTCCCCCGCTCCCCATTAATGATTGGCATCTTTGGGGAGTGGGGGGGAGCGGGTACCCAAATCTTACAGGTACCCGCTCCCACTTGCGCTCTGATCACCTAGGCGATTGGAAGTGGAAGTTGTCCTCCCTCCCCAAAGTCTTCTGGGTCCCAGAAGACTACGGGGCCATTCACAAAGCGCAGCGCTTCTTGCGCATGCACAGTAGGCACCCGGCTGTGAAGCCGCAAGCTGTCACAACCGGTTGCTCACACTAAAGATGCCAGGGAGAGAAGATGGCCGGTGAAACCAGCGGTGGTAAGGACACTGCTGGACCGAGGGACAGGTAAGTAGCTGTATTTCAAAAGTCAGCAGCTACAGTTTTTGTAGCTGCTTTTTTTTTTTTTCAGCTGCAACTGCGCTTTAAAGAAGGCAGAGATTTGCCTCCACTTCCTGTCCCATAGCCAAACAGGAAGAGAAAACTCCTTCAAATTAAATGAGTTCCTTGGGGACCCCCAGGTCACCAGAACTAATGTTCCCATTGGAAAATGTCCCCTCTATTACTTTTCAGGGGACAACCCAAAATTTGAGGTTTATTTTACTTTCAATTTCCATGATAATGGTAAACAGGACAAATAGAAAGGGCGAATCTCCTTAACGGGGGCACAGACAGCTATAAAAACCTGACAGGAATTCAAATCCCATGCCACTGTGTCCTAAAATGAAAAAACAACATACCATATTTTCCGGTGTATAAGATGACTGGGCGTATAAAACGACCCCCTACTTTTCCTGTTAAAATATAGGGTTTGGGCTATACTCACCGTATAAGACTACCCCTCTTCAATGCACACCAGTGGGAAGAATCGTGCCCCATCATTGGTGTCAGTGGGAGGAATAGTGTCCCATCATTGGTATTAGTGGGAGGAATAGTGCCCCATCATTGGTATTAGTGGGAGGAATAGTGCCCCATCATTGGTGTCAGTGGGAGGAATAGTGTCACATCATTGGTATTAGTAGGAGGAATAGTGCCCCATCATTGGTATCAGTGGGAGGAATAGTGCCCCATCATTGTTATTAGTGGGAGGAATAGTGCCCCATCATTGGTATTAGTGGGAGGAATAGTGCCCCATCATTGGTGTCATTGGGAGGAATAGTGTCCCATCATTGGTATTAGTGGGAGGAATAGTGCCCCATCATTGGTATTAGTGGGAGGAATAGTGCCCCATCATTGGTGTCAGTGGGAGAAATAGTGCCCCATCATTGGTGTCAGAGCGACGAATCGTGCCCCATCATTGGTATCAGTGGGAGGAATAGTGCCCCATCATTGGTATTAGTGGGAGGAATAGTGCCCCATCATTGGTATTAGTGGGAGGAATAGTGCCCCATCATTGGTGTCAGAGCGACGAATCGTGCCCCATCATTGGTATCAGTGGGAGGAATAGCACCTTATCATTGGTGTCAGTGGGAGGAATAGCGCCCCATCATTGGTGTCAGTGGGAGGAATCGTGCCCCATCATTTGTAGCAGTGGCAGGAATAGTGCCCCATCATTGGTGTCAGTGGGAGGAATAGTGCCCCATCATTGGTATCAGTGGGAGGAATAGTGCCCCATCATTGGTATCAGTGGAGGGAATAGTGCCCCATCATTAGTATCAGTGGGGGGAATAGTGCCCCATCTTTGGTGTCAGTGGGAGGAATCGTGCCCCGTCATTGGTGTCAGTGGGAGGAATAGTGTCCCAACATTGGTGTCAGTGGGGGAAGGAATAGTGTTCCATCATTGGTGTCAGTGGGGGGTGGAATAGTGCCCCATCATTGTCAGTGGGGGGGGGGATAGTGCCCCATCGTTGGTGTCAGTGGGGGGGAGGAAAAGTGCCCCATCGTTGGTGTCAGTGGGAAAAATAATAAATAATAATCCGTTGGAAGAAGGGGGAGGTGGCGACACCGCGCCGCCCCCCTAAAAAGTGTCAGCATGCCGTATACCGGCGTATAAGACGACCCCCAACTTTTGAGAAGATTTTCAAGAGGTAAAAAGTCGTCTTATACGCCGGAAAATACGGTAGTTTTGCCTTTAGTTATACTTTAAAGCTTTCTTTCTGTAACCATACAGCTATTTACATTGACTAACATGATTAATATAGCCAGCGTGACTAGGCACCTTAAAACAGATTCAGAATTTACCTCAGACATTGTAAGATTTGCTGAATTTTATTTAGTCATTAACCACTTCGTAAAATTTACCCCTCCCCCCCCCCCCCTTTCCTGACCAGGCCATTTTTTTCTATTCGGCACTGCTCTATTTCAACTGGTAATTGTGCGGTCATGCAACACTGTACCCAAATTAAAATTAAGTCCTTTTGTCACACAAATAGAACTTTCATTTGGTGGTATTTGATCACCACTGCATTTTTTATTTTTTGTGATATGAACGAAAAAATATTGAAAATTGTGGAAAAAAAAAAGAAAATATTTTCTACTTTTGGTTACAAAAAATATCCAATAAACTCAAAGTTAGTCATAAATTTAGGCCAAAATGTATTCTGCTACATGTCTTTGGTAAAAAAATATTCCAATACTCCATATTATATTCCAATTTTTTTTTTTCAATCACTTTTATTCTTATCACAGGGAATGTAAATATCCCCTGTGATAGCAACAGGCAATGATAGGTAATCTTTTCTGAGAAATCTGGGGTCTGTTAAACTCTAGATCTCTTCTCTGTCCTTGAAGCATTAAATCACACCAAGATCAGATGATTTCCCAATTTAAAAACTGCGCTGCTAATATCCGGCGAAATGGAAAAGATTAAATGCTCAAAGCTTCTGGTTTCTTAGACCATAGAGATGATTGGAGCCATACTGGTCTCCGATCAGCTCTATGGTCAGCCAGAACTGCCAGCTACATTCTCAGATTCCACGGTGGGACAGGAGAGCCCAAGAAAGCAGTGGAAGTCAGCGGAAGGGGGGTGGGGGGGATGGAACATCCCTTCAAGCTGCTTGTCAGAACCCCACCCAGCAGCTAATTAGCCACTAGGATTGCTTTTACATGAAAGCCGACCACCAGCTTCAAAAACTGATACCATGATGATGCCTGCATCATCCCAATATAACCACTCTAAGTCCAGCAATGTACCAGTATGTTGCTGGTACTTGTCGGGCATATATTTAACAGCAGAGAACATGGGCATATGATGAATCTGGTCTGTGAACCAATATGAACGCAATTCATTCTTTTTTGTAACACCCATGTTGAGAGTTAGGCCCAAAAAAGTTTTAGATTCAGAGCTCACCAGGAAGAAAAGCAAAGCTGTTATGAATCAGATTGTTTCTTAACAGTTTTGCTAATATTGTGATCATATGATCGCATAGCGATAGTACCCATGTCGATTTGCCTGTAGCTGCCGCCCGTTCGCAGTACATTATGGGCGGGCGGCAAGCGGTTAAAGGCATACTCTGGAGAAGCAAAGCAGAAACCATCTACTTCAGGGGTGTCCAAGCTGTGGCCCACGGGCCAAATGCCGCCCAAGACGGTTATGAATGTGGTCCACCACAAAATCGTAAACTTACTTAAAAATTTTCTTTTTTTTGGAATTTTTTGTAAAATGCATTTACACTTTGCAAACAAATCCAGTCAAAGAAAAATTTGACCGTGTCTCTTTACTGGACTTTTTTAAGTTTTATCTTCCCAAAGAAAATTATCCCGCTCTTCACAATCACACCTTATTCATGTCATCAATTTTCGGCAGAATCTATATTTGTGAGCAATTATCTTCAAGGATGAAGCACATGACGGGGAAAATTAGAACCAAAATATCTGATGAGCACCTTGAGAATGCATTGAGAATTGCTACTACATCCATATAGATATCGCTGTGTTTGTTTATCAAAAACGTGTCAAATATCGCTCTAGTTTTATGCTGCCCTCTTTTACTTTTAATTTAAAAATATTACAAAAAATGAAGTTTTATTACTCAGATAGGCACATTGTCTATATCAGTGATTGTTAACTTGTGATCTGCCCGACATTGTCTGCTCATCAGCTATTCTTATTGTTAATGTATTTTATATGTGGCCCAAGAAAATTCCTCTCCTTCCAATGTGGCACAAGAAAGTCAAAAGGTGTTGGACACCCCTGATCTGCTTATTTACATATGATGCTTTGTTGCTGAGATCCACTGCCTAAATTTGCATTCCTCTGCCAGTTTGGATATTTCTATTGTATTTTGCTTTAATTCGTTTACTCAGTCTTCGACCCTTGGCATTCAACATGGAAAAGAAAACAATATTAATCAAGTGGGCCCATTAATGGACCACAGGGTAAGAGAATGGTGCACTAATTCAGCCTGAGAGATCTCAGCATAGGAGTCTGAGGTGATCATGAAGCAGATTATAACTATTTTGATGTGGGAAGTGTTCCTGCTTCTACATTGAGGTAAAGTATGAATTTTGTCTCAGGCACCACTAGGGTTATACAGAATAACACCTGCAACGCACTGTTTCTTTAGTCTCTATAGTAGCAGAAACAATTAGGACTGCAAGTGGGTAGGATTTGTCAGTGGTGTCCGAAGTGGCTTCTCAATGCTGCCGAAAACAATACAATAAATTAAAGACAGCAAAAACTAAATTGAAATTGCATGTTCACCATTTCTAAAAATATTCTCTTAACTCTTTCTTCTTTTTATAGGGTCCACCACCTCAGCTGGGAGACCTGATTGAATTTTTCCGGCCTTTGTACCAGCACTGGGGAATATACGTAGGGAATGGCTATGTTGTCCATCTCACAGGTAGACTGTGCACTTCTGATACTCAGGGTTGAGTTTTGGCTTAGAGACATGCAAAGATGCTGCCTCATTGGGACAACTGCCATACAGAGCAAGAGGGTACAGTGATACTGGTAGGAAGACGTATGTTGGTATTTCCTTTTCTATGAAAAGGCCAGGATGTTGAGTGCACAAAATTGGATGGAGCAATGGTGATAATGGGATAGGAGTTTTCAAGAGCATGAAGTGAAGGAGCATACAGTAATGGTTAGTGGGAATGTGAGTAATGAGATTGGGAGGCTTACTTAAGCAGAATGGCTATGGTAAAGTCTTCAAAGTATAAGTGTGACATATAACATAGCAGTATGACGAGTGCAATACTGCTCACACAGAGTGGTTATTAGAAAATCCAAGCGGAGTAATATAATAAGTATTACCAAACAAGTTTTATCCGATCACATGGATCATACTGAGGTTAGACAAAGACATGGTAAACAAGTCTTTATAAAATCACTGAATTAAAAACATTCGGCGTCTCCAGATCTAATAATGTTCGGCAATCAGGAATCCACATAAAGCAATGAAGTTCCTAACTACTAGATCAAAGGATTTCCATATTTTCCATATAATATCTGCATGAGGGGAACATTCTTCAAAAAGTGTTTTGGTGACCACCACAGTGAATAGAATGACCTCCTAAAAATGGAAAACCAGAAAAAAAGAACATAGTAGAGGGAACAAAAAATAGGATATATGCACTAACCATACGCAATAACAAAACAACCCCATGACAGGTATATATGTTATTCCGTTACCTTCTCATAAGCTTGTCCATCATGAAAAGATGGATATATGGCCTTCCTGGATAGCCACCCCAAATGGAAATGTATCCACAGTAGTAAATGATTCTAGAAGTGTATAGATATGAGACAAAAATATGAAGCTACCATCAAACCTGAATGAAACTAATAAGGGTAAAAAATCTAAAGGATATTACCATACAAAAGATCAAGGGGACTCCTCCTCACTTGAAGTAAGATCAGGTCTGGATGAAAAAGTGAATGTGGGGGTGGGCAGCCAGGTAGTAGATATGTAAAGTCCAGACTGTTTGATACAGTCCATGTATATATGAATATATAGGCCCAAATCTGGGTTTCCAAAAATTGCTCAGTAGTGAGAAAGTAAAGCGGTTCCTTAAAAATATGTATGAGACTATAGAAGCATGCCGCAGCACATATAAAGCATAGTATACAAATATTCCTCCAATAGGAGTTCAAAAAATTCCCCCAAATGAGGTAAATAGACACAGGGTTTTAAAAAATATGAGGGTATGTAACCCGTTTATATTGATAGCACTAAAGACAAATTTAGCCTAACGGCTATAAACTTGCCACCGGTGGAAGTAGCCTGTGACTCAGAGTTGCCATGTGCGGGCTGCTTTAGATGATGTCCTCATCATAATTAGAGTGTCTCCTGCCTTTCCAGTGTGGAGCTGAAGCAAACCGCTTCTTCCTTCCTTGTGGGCACTGCGCCCTATGGAGACGCCGAGCGTAATGATGTCATCACGTTGACGCGTTTTGTCCGCCAATCACCGCAGACTTCGTCAGAACTGGGAGGGGACTACTATTGCATTGCCTTATATAGTACCCTAATTACGTACATTCTTGTTTATGTCGCCCTCTTGTGTTAGAAAACCATCACTACAGAGAGCCTTATTTTAAGGACAGGAGACCACCATAAACAGACAGATTCATACCAAAAATTCTTTTGGTTCAGACGGCAATATGGATAAATCTTAAACCCTGAAATAGATCTTTTATTCAGTTCAAACAGACTTTTTAAATTGGGTTCTATTTTCAAACCGTATAAGTCTGATGTATCAAGGGTAAATCTTTTATTTAATTAAAAAAAACTTTGAAATTGAGTTCTGTATTCAAACCGTATGGGACTAATGTATCAAGAGTATATATCCAGTATTTTTCTTTTTGGAGAAGAACTTTATCAAAATCCCCTCGTCTAGCTGAGATGTTCAGCAGAAAAATTCCTTTTACTTTCAGGCCTTCAGTTTTTCCCCCGTGTACATCCTTAAAATGTTGAGCAAGCGGGTTTTCCCTCTCTTTATCATTTCCATGCTTATTCTCATTTTTAATGTCTCTCAGGTGTTCGCCTATCCTAGTTCTAAGAGTTCTTTTTTTGTTTTCCCTATATACTTCTTTTTACATGGACATTCTATCATATAGATCACCTTATTACTAGAACAGTTAATAAAATTCTTTATTTTAAATCTCTGGGATTCATCTATATTAGAAAATTGGTTGGTCTTGTGTACATACGGGCAAATTTGACAATGGCCACAGGGGAACATCCCAGTAGTACGGATTTGCTTAGTTAGCCAGTTGGTTTTAGGAGTTCTTTGGAACTCTGATTGTACTAGAATGTCACTCAGATTTTGGGCTCTTTTTGCTTCCATGTGTGGATTATCACCCACTATCTGTGCTATTCCGGAGTTTTGAGTTAATAAATGCCAATGTGTATGCAAGGCCTTTTTAACATCATTCCATTGTTGTCAAAATTTTGTTATAAAACCTTACTGGTTGATTAAAGTATTTATCACCCGCTTTAGTTTTAGAATTAGAGATTAGTTCATTTCTTGTTTTTATAGGAAGCTCTTCGTTTCGCTCTTCTCAAAGTCCTATGTGAATACCCCCTTTCCCTAAATCTTTTATAAAGCTGAATAGATTCAGCTTTATACTGGACCTCATTAGTACAGTTCCTTCTAATTCTCTGAAATTGGCCAATGGGTATACCCTGTTTAAGGCTTTCCGGGTGATAGCTGGTAGCATGTAGCAATGTATTCGCTGCCGTTTCTTTTCTAAATGTTTTAGTAATTAATCTATTCTCACATATTGAAATAAAAAGATCAAGGAATGAAATTACTTCACGGTCAGCAATATATGTTAACCTGATATTTCTGTCATTCTTATTGAGAAATTCAAGAAAGCAAACCAATTGTCCCATGTCTCCGTCCCATATCATCAGGACGTCATCAATATATCTAAGCCATTTAACTACATGTAGGTTAAATGGGATAGAGGGATAAACCAAATCTTCCTCCCAGAGGCCCAAATGGAGACATGCATAAGCTGGAGCCCATGGTGCTCCCATGGAAGTACCACATACCTGTTGGTACCATGCCCCAAGGAATTGAAAGCAATTGTGGGTCAGCATAAATTCCATGAGGTCCAGAATAAATTCGTTCTGGGCCTCCATTCCTGGAAAATGTTTTTCCAGAAAAAAAAGCTATAGCTCTCAATCCCCAGACATGTGGGATTGAGGTATAAAGTGATTCGACATCTATACCCACTAAAAATGCTCCCTTTGGTACCTCTAAATCACTAATTTTTCCCAGTACATCTCCGGTATCTCTTACATAAGACTTAAGTTCGATGACCATATCTTTAACCAGGTCATCGACAAATTTACCAACTGTCTCAAGTGGGCCTTTTATGGCTGATATTATTGGACGTCCCGGTGGTTGGGTAGGATTCTTATGTATTTTGGGAATAACATAGAACGTAGGAATGTTATAGATATCAACTGTCAACATATCATATTCCTGTTCTGTTAAAAGATTTACTTTGAATGCCCACTTTAACTTTCTGTTTAATACCTCAACTATCCTAGGAAAGGGGTTCATATGTACAGTGGGGATCAAAAGTTTGGGCACCCCCCAGCTAAAAAGTTGTATTAATGTGCATAAAGAAGCCAAGGAAAGATGGAAAAATCTCCAAAAGGCATCAAATTACAGATTAGACATTCTTATAATATGTCAACAAAAGTTAGAATTTATTTCCATCATTTACACTTTCAAAATAACAGAAAACAAAAAAAGGGTGTCTGCAAAAGTTTGGGCACCCTGCAGGGTTAATATCTTGTACTGCCCCCTTTGGCAAGTATCACAGCTTGTAAACGCTTTTTGTAGCCAGTCAAGAGTCTTTCAATTCTTGTTTGAGGTATCTTTGCCCATTCTTCCTTACAAAAGTCTTACAGTTCTTTGAGATTTCTGGGCTGTCTGTCACGCACTGCTCTTTTAAGGTCTATCCATAGATTTTCAATTATGTTGAGGTCAGGAGATTGTGAAGGCCATGGCAAAACCTTCAGTTTACGCCTCTTGATGTAATCCCCCATGGATTTTGAGGTGTGTTTAGGATCATTATCCATTTGTAGAAGCCATCCTCTCTTTAACTTCAGCTTTTTCACAGATGGCATCAAGTTACCATCCAAAATTTGCTGAAATTTTATTGAATCCATTTTTCCTTCTACTTGTGAGATGTTCCCTGTGCCACTGGCTGCAACACAACCGCAAAGCATGATTGATCCAACCCCATGCTTAACAGTTGGACAGAGGTTCTTTTCATTAAATTCTGTGCCCCTTCTTCTCCAAACGTATCTTTGCTCATTCCGGCCAAAAAGTTAAATTTTAACCTCATCGGTCCACAGAACTTGTTTCCAAAATGCATCAGGCTTGTCTATATGTTCATTTGCGAAAGTTCAAACGATGATTTTTGTGGTGAGGACGTAGAAGAGGTTTTCTTCTGATGACTCTTCCATGAAGACCATATTTGTACAAGTATCTCTTTATAGTGGAATAGTGTACCACAACTCCAGTGTCTGCCAGATCTTTCTGGAGGGATCGTGAAGTCAAACGTGGGTTTTGAATTGTTTTTCTCACAATCCTGCGAGCTGTTCTGTCTGATATTTTTCTTGGTCTTCCAGATCTTGCTTTGACTTCCACTGTTTCCTGATGACTGCCATTTCTTAATTACATTCCGAACAGAGGATATTGACATCTGAAAACGCTTTGCTATCTTCTTATAGCCTTCTCCAGCTTTGTGAGCGTCAACTATTTTCAGTTTCAGTTTTCTAGACAACTGCTTAGAAGAACCCATGGTGCTGATTGTTGGGGCAAGGTCAGATGAGTCTGGGCATTTAAAACCTTTGAGATTGACATCACCTGGTCTTCCCAGATGATGATTGAGAACAATCCATGACACTGGCAGGTCTCAGCTTTGCAAAGGGGACAGTGCATGCTATAAATTCTGCAGGGTGCCCAAACTTTTTCAGACGTCATTTTTTTGTTTTCTGTTATTTTGAAAGTGTAAATGATGGAAATAAATTCTAACTTTTGCTGACATATTATAAGAATGTCTAATCTGTAATTTGATGCCTTTTGGAGATTTTTCCATCTTTCCTTGGCTTCTTTATGCACATTAATACAAATTTTTAGCTGGGGTGCCCAAACTTTTGATCCCCACTGTAGTTTGCAGTAAGTACTAGATTCCCTTAATTGTCTCAAAATTTCCTTCTCATAATCATCACTTTGTAATAACACCACATTCCCCCCTTTATCACTTTACTTTATTACAATATCTTTTGCATTTTTTAACTCTAGGAGTGCTCTTCTTTCCTCTCTAGTCAGATTATCAGGGTTCCTCATGGACCAATTAATTTTACACAAGTCGTTATGTACTCGATCCAGAAAGGTACTAAGCCATTTATTTTCTCTAATATTAGGCATCCTCCTAGATGGTGTTATTAATCTAGTGTGTCTTTTCCATCTATCCGGGATGCATTCTTCCTCAAGTTCTTTCATATTGGATGACTCATCAAGGAGACTTAAAAGATCCATTACTGCCTGTTGTTCCCATTCTGATTCTAGTCCACATGTGTTTTCTTGGGAAATATAAGGAATTCTTAGCATAATTTTCCTCAAAAATAGATTTAAGTCTTTATAAACTTCAAACAGATTCATTTTATTGGTTGGTGAGAAAGTTAGTCCCTTACGTAGTAAGTCATAGTGTCTTTCTTCTAAAACAAATTTTGATAGATTAATTTCCTTGAGATCATCAGTATTCTCCTGTTCTACCTTTTGTGGCTCCGAGTTCGATTTTGGTTGGAGGGCTTGGGAGTAGCCATTGTATTCCTTTCGTCTTTTGTTACATTTATCGGTTTGTTCACCTGTTTTAAGATACCTTGGCCTTCCCCAGTGGTTTTTTCTTCTTCTAAAAAACTAAATGATCTTCTATTGTTATCATCATCATCATCCTCCCTCAAGGATGAATGTTGTCTATTATTTCTAGAAAAATATCTTTTACGTCTAGATCTACTTCTTCCTCTATTGATAGACAGATCAAAGATCTCTCCTCTTTCCCAATCCTCCAGATCTCTTTTAAATTTTTGTTGTTTAGTAAATTTCAAGTTTTTTTGTATTTTTTCTATCTCTTTTTTAAGGAAATCATTATATTTTTCAAAGTCAGGATTGTCCTTCAGAGGTTCCAGGGATTTAATACTGGCATCAATTTGTATAGATAATTCATTTAGTTGGACCTTCTCTTCCTCCACTATTTATCGCATAACTTCAATGCCATGTTTAATGCAGACATCTTTCCAAAAACCTAGGAGTATGGAGGTGTTCTGCTGGGATCACTCTCTCCCGTAACCCTCTGGGGACAATTTCTTTTTCAATATATGGTTCCAGGGAGGTTATATCCCACTTCCTGTTTAGAAGTTATAGATATTTAGAAGTTAATTTCTTATAAATTTTAAATTTAGTTTTAATATCCATATTGCTATCATTTGTCTGGTGATTAAAGTTTTTTGTAAATGCAGATTTAATTTCTGCATCCATTTCCTCATTAATCTGATAAGCCATTTTTTTCTCCTCAAGTCACCTAGTATTGTTTACCATGAAAATGTCAAAAAAGAGAATCTCGAAAAAGGTGGCAGAACAGGTTATATCAACCTTTAAGAATATCTATCGGAGAAAGGGGGGGGGGGGGTAGCCATCTAACATGACACGTAAGTATGTGTCATATAAATATCTCCGTCTCACTTTCTCACTACTGAGCAATTTTTGGAAACCCAGATTTGGGCCTATATATTCATATATACATAGACTGTATCAAACAGTCTGGACTTTACATATCTACTACCTGGCTGCCCACCCCCACATTCACTTTTTCATCCAGACCTGATCTTACTTCAAGTGAGGAGGAGTCCCCTTGATCTTTTGTATGGTAATATCCTTTAGATTTTTTACCCTTATTAGTCTCATTCAGGTCTGATGGTAGCTTCATATTTATGTCTCATATCTATACATTTCTAGAATCACTTACTACTGTGGATACATTTCCATTTGGGGTGGCTATCCAGGAAGGCCATATATCCATCCTTTCATGATGGACAAGCTTATGAGAAGGTTAGTGCATATATCCTATTTTTTGTTCCCTCTACTATGATCTTTTTTTCTGGTTTTCCATTTTTAGGAGGTCATTCTATTCACTGTGGTGGTCACCAAAACACTTTTTGAAGAATGTTCCCCTCATGTAGATATTATATGGAAAATATGGAAATCCTTTGATCTAGTAGTTAGGAATTTCATTGCCTTATGTGGATTCCTGATTGCCGAACATTATTAGATCTGGAGATGCCAAATGTTTTTAATTCAGTGATTTTATAAAGACTTGTTTACCATGTCTTTGTCTAACCTCAGTATGATCCATGTGATCGGATAAAACTTGTTTGTTAATACTTATTATATTACTCCGCTTGGATTTTCTAATAACCACTCTGTGTGAGCAGTATTGCACTCGTCATACTGCTATGTTTTATGCTAAGCATTTGGGTTTATAAATCCACACTAATCATTAGTGAGACGGAGATATTTATATGACACATACGTGTCATGTTAGGTGGCTACCCCCCCCCCCTTTTCTCCTAAGTGTGACATATGTTGTACATGACAAAATATTCAGTGATGCAATAGATTTAAGCATTCATTCAAAAATCCTAGAGAGAACTGTGATAGTGAGCGTGTTTAATCATCATAAAAAGATTTTTCATCTTGTTCAAACATCTGATTAATTAGCAGCAGCTCCTTCTTTCTTCATAGAGAAATTAGTGAGAAATATTGCGACAGTGCAGGCACTAGAACAGACATGGGCAATTTTACCAGCACGTGATTTTTTTAGTAACAGACTTGCCTTATGTGCCCACCGCAAAGCTACTCAAAGTATTCAAATGAAAACATGTTGATCTAGAAGAAAAACTTTTACAAAATTAACGCTCCTTTAATTTTTGTCCTTAGATCAAGAAGGCTGGTCAAGCTTGTCATCAGCTCTTGGTGGCTCTGCAGTGGTGAGAAAAGATCGCCTGGAACATGTTGCACGTCGGTGCAATTACAGAGTGAATAATAAATTTGATCAGAAGATGAGTCCGTACCCCTCAGAAAAGGTGGTGCAAGCAGCACTGCAGCAAGTGGGTCAGATAATGCCATACAGTGTCACCAGTGCCAACTGTGAACATTTTGTGACAGAACTACGATATGGAAACTGCTTCTCTGAGCAGGTATGATTTAAGACATGTAAGTCCCAAGTGCAGAGGGTACTAAACTGTACCATTAGCGATGTAGCATAAATGGAATCTAGCCATATACCAAATGGCAATATTTTACAGCACCCTCTGGCTTTCCCATATCCAGGAACTAAGGCTGGGTAGTGATAGGTCTGCATCCACTGGTATACAGCTGCTGTAGGTGGAATGGTGGTATATGTAAGTAAAAAAAGGTGGGAGAGGAGATGGGAAGGCCTTAAAAAAAAAAGGAAAAATTGGGAAAAAACTCACTTTTTTTCTGGAAAAATTGAAAAAAAAAAAAGGAATGTGAAATAAGTTCTTTTACAATGATAAATAATATATCTAAGACATGGTATTCAATACTATATAACAATGAAGACCTTAATGACTGACCTCCTCCACTCTTCCTACCACTCCATCCCCCACAGCTATCTCCTCCTGTACCACTATCCCGTCCCTTCTAGATTGTAAGCTCGAAAGAGCAGGGCCCTCGATCCCCTCATGTTTTGCATTGTATTGGTATTGTTCTGTCACATGTTCTGTCCCCCTTTGCAATGTACAGCGCTGAGTGAACTATCGGCGCTTTATAAATACTGTATAATAATAATAATAATAATGAAAGATTTCTGAGACTTTATGTAAAGTCTTAAATTATTGCAAATTGTCTCAGCTGAAGACAAGCCAAACCTGGAATACAATTCAAGTAACTCTGTACTTCTCAATGCAGTTCTCAAACAAGAGAAATATGCATTTCTGCCACTAGGGAGCACTGTAGGGAAATGCTCCAGTTTAGTTTGCTTGTTGGCTCCATCTTGTACCTTCTGCAGTCGGGTGATTGTTGATATTCAGCAGATGATAGTTTCTGTCCTCTCAGACCTTAACTGACCGGTAAGCGGGTAAATTTGTCTGACAAATTATTTTACCTTTATAACCTTTAACCACTTCCTATACAAAAACATGCAGCGCTAGAGTGAATGGATCTATCTCATGATACGGAGTGACCACTTAATGAGATATAAACGCAGCTACCATAATAGTCTTAAGCAACCAATATTATAACATTCTCATAGTTAAGAAGGTGTAAATGGTGATAAAGGTGTCAAAGTCAATCTATCATAGGAGTGACGTAAATCTGTGACATCTGTGGTAGGAAATGTGGCTGTAGAATGCACTAACCAGATAGCGCAAATAAAAGCGCATTGGAGTAAAATGACCTACTCCTGGTCACTGGATCAGGGGACCTGCCGGAATGGTGGTCGTCTCTACTGTGGTCACCAGAGTCATCCGTGTCCTCTCCAGTTATGGAATTCCCAGGTATCCAGTGGAATAAACGCTCATCCGGTATGCAGTAGAATCCTTGTGTCAGCGACCTCCAGGGGTGCGATGTGCGCTCAAGGACCAGGAATCACCTTCAGGGCTCAGAAATAAACCCAAAAGAGAGGCTTCCGATAGTGTGATAACTTTTATTATGGAGTAGTAGACAAAAAAACGCACTTACATGTGCAATATACACTTCCAAAGATGGCCGCCCGTGTCAAGGTGTGGACCATGTGGGTAGTGGTTGTGGGTCAAGTAGCATCTCCCTAACGTGTTTCGTGGCAACTGCACGTTATCAAAGGGCCCGCCCCATGTATATTATTTTAATAAAAATTAAAAGCTTTACAATCACTTTAAGGGTTAACCTGTTAAGTTAAAGAAACCCTGTTGCCTCCGTAAAAAAAGAAAGGACAAAGTCACCATGTTAAATAATAATGTACATATTACATACCTTTTCAGCAGGTGGTGAATGCAAGCTTCACATTCTTGAAGTGTTCTGGGCGATCAAATAGTTGTATAGGATAGCATGTTCTCTGCTGGCTTCAGGACTAAAAATTTCTCAAACACTGGCCCGCCCCTTTGATAACGTGCAGTTGCCACGAAACGCGTTAGGGAGATGCTACTGGACCCACAACCACTACCCACATGGTCCACACCTTGACACGGGCGGCCATCTTTGGAAGTGTATATTGCACCATGTAAGTGCGTTTTTTTGTCTACTACTCCATAATAAAAGTTATCACACTATCGGAAGCCTCTCTTTTGGGTTTATTTCTGAGCCCTGAAGGTGATTCCTGGTCCTTGAGCGCACATCGCACCCCTGGAGGTCGCTGACACAAGGATTCTACTGCATACCGGATGAGCGTTTATTCCACTGGATACCTGGGAATTCCATAACTGGAGAGGACACGGATGACTCTGGTGACCACAGTAGAGACGACCACCATTCCGGCAGGTCCCCTGATCCAGTGACCAGGAGTAGGTCATTTTACTCCAATGCGCTTTTATTTGCGCTATCTGGTTAGTGCATTCTACAGCCACATTTCCTACCACAGATGTCACAGATTTACGTCACTCCTATGATAGATTGACTTTGACACCTTTATCACCATTTACACCTTCTTAACTATGAGAATGTTATAATATTGGTTGCTTAAGACTATTATGGTAGCTGCGTTTATATATCTCATTAAGTGGTCACTCCGTATCATGAGATAGATCCATTCACTCTAGCGCTGCATGTTTTTGTATATGATTGTCCACCACGAGGCGTTTTGGAGGCTTGCCTTTCATGCCAACTGCTTTTATATTTCGCTCTAAAACTGTCCAGCGCTCGTTATACTCCTTTTTCTATTTAACCACTTCCTGACCACCCTATAGCAGAAATACTGCTACAGGGCAGCACGGGTGCGCAAAATCACGTATATATACATGAGTTTGCATTTCCGGTTAGGGAGCGCACGCGCACCTTACCCACCCCGTCATTTGCAGCTGTGGCTTTTAATCACTGCGTCCCAGCCTGTGATTACTTGCCAGCGCCCAGTGATTACCGAGGATCTCCGATGGGGAGAACTGTTTTGTTTACTAACAGTTCTCCTCCGTCAGCTCTGGCACACTGCTTTGGATGGCTGTGCACAGCACAGCCATCCAAAGCAGTGTGCTTACAGTGAAGCACACAGATACTGCCCCATAGTAAAACACACCCAGCACATAGTTAACCCTTTGATCGCCCCTCATATTAACTCCTTCCTGCCCAGTACCATTAGTACAGTGTCAGTGCTTTTTTTTTTAGCACTGATTTGTGTTGGTGTCACTGGGGATGTCAGTGACACCAAGTCAGTTCCTCCCAGTGTCAGAATGTCCGCTGCAGTCCCGCTACAAGTCGCTGATCGCCGCCATTACTAGTAACAAAAAAAAAAATCCCAGTATATATACCGCCATTTGTAAACGCTATAACTTTCAGGTAAACCAATTTACACGTATTGGCATTTTTTTTTAGCAAAATGTAGCAGAATTTATTTTGGCCTAAATTTATGATGGAATTTGATTTTTTACATTTTTTTATTGGACACATTTAATAGCAAAAAGTCAAACTTATTGCAGTAAAGCATGTTTGATCCTGACTTTTCTGATCCTCCCCTTCTTCCAGTGTCCCCCTCTTATCTCCTGATAAGACATATTGTGTGAAGTCACTCTGCACATGCTCAGTTTTGTGTTTATTGCTAGAGAGGTTTCTTTTTTTCTTGGGAGAGTGCATGTGATCAGCACAGGGCCAATCTGCACTGTCCAGACAGAGGTCAGGGGTTCTGCATCCTCCTAGAGCAGAATGAAAACTCCTCCTATTAGCTTTAACCAGTGCTCTGCTGAAGGCACAAGACTGCTCTAACTGCTGATGAGAAAAGGTATTTAGCAGTTTTTATTTACTAAAATAATTGCATTTCTGTGTTCTGCGTACTGTGGGAGACCAGGTAGGGTGAATGCAGGGTCCTGGGTTTAGTAACACTTTAAGGTAAAAAACCTTCCATGTTCAGCTCCCTCTCCATCCCTCCCCTAAAAACGTATATGAGTCCTAAGTCCTATCGCAAACCAGCACTGTGCCAGAGTGCAGCAGTGCTGCTTTCTCTCCTCACAGGCTCAGAGGCAGCAGCAGGAGCCATTGGTTCCTGCTGCTGTTAGTCAAATCCTGTGAGGAGGGAATAGGGGGTGGGACCGAACCATGTTGTGTGTGTCATTAGACGTTTTGGGATCGAGCCCAAATAAATTCCCCCATAGCAAGCAGCTTGCTATGGGGGCACTTGGAAGGGAGGAAGAGCAGAGAGCGCTAGCAGGGGACCCCAGAAGAGGAGGTTTGGGTCCAATTTGTGCAATACCATTGTACAGAGCAGGCAATTATAACATGTATATTATTTTAATAAAAATTAAAAGCTTTACAATCACTTTAAGGGTTAACCTGTTAAGTTAAAGAAACCCTGTTGCCTCCGTAAAAAAAAAAAGGACAAAGTCACCATGTTAAATAATAATGTACATATTACATACCTTTTCAGCAGGTGGTGAATGCAAGCTTCACATTCTTGAAGTGTTCTGGGCGATCAAATAGTTGTATAGGATAGCATGTTCTCTGCTGGCTTCAGGACTAAAAATTTCTCAAACACTGACTCCACTGATGCAGTGATCCCCAAAAAGATTTGAACAGGGCTGTACTCCAAGTTTAGGAACACTTCCTGAGAAAGCTGAAACTTACAGAGCACTATGCAGAGATTCATCATAACAGTGCTCAGGCCTTGTGAGTGTTGGCTGCATTGTAGGGGGTGTGTCACATGTTGTCCCTCTTACGCAGGAGTTCTCAGTGAGAGGAATGTAGTGTCAGACCCCGGGCCCACCTTCACCAAATGTAACAAATGGCTAGTCGATATCACACCGTGCTGTCACCAAGAACATGAGTATGACACTCTCAGCCTCACCCTGCACAAAGATTTTCCAGCTCACGAAACCACAATCTAGGTGCCAGCAATCCACACTAGGTTTAGTTGGCTTGGCTATGAAGTTGGTTTAGTTGGCTACGAAGTTGACCTGTTACACTGCCACCAGATATTTTATAGGAGATATCAGCCTTTACAATATCTGCAATAACAATCATTACTTTGTAATAATTGTCTGTGATACACATTGTCACAGCAGAAATTTACAGTATAGTATCAAAGAGACAGGTATTCGTTAAGTTCTGTCTTAGTGCATTAGAGATAATGATGTTTTTAAAATATTTACAGTGACAAGGGTATTACAAAAGAAAACAGGGACAATAATACAACAGAAAACAAAAAGGGAATAAGAATGAAAGTCCTTGCTTCTGGGAGTTCCAGCAAAGTCCAGTCAATGTGCATAAGATGGATCAGTGTTGTCTCATAAAATAAATCTTGGGTGATGTTCTTCATTTGATGGAAAAGGAGAGCTCCAGACTACTGATGAAGTCTCTTTCTGGCTCCAGAGGATGGTGTAGACAGAAATAATCTGACCAATCTGAGTTCTGAGGAGTGGCCAAAGGGAGGTCACAATGTTTTTGATCATGCAGCTGCCACTCCTTCAGATACAATTTCCTTTAGGTATACATATCTGAGGATAACTACAGGTTACATTCTGGTAACCAGTATATTATCATCCACCATGGGACTAACTTTTGAATGAATACAGATATATGATATCAGATGCATATTTCACCTAGGAGATGGATATCTGCTTAAGGGTTCTAATTACGTAAGCCTGGATACAGGAATGTTTTATGATATCATATGGCAGCACAATGGCTAAATGGTTAGCACTTCCACCTGGTAGTACTAGGGTTCTTGGTTTGAATCCCAACCACGGCACCATGTGCCTGAAATTCGCATGTTCTCCCTGTGCCTGCGTGGGTTTCCTCTGGGTGCTCCGGTTTCCTCTTACACTTCAAAGACATGCTGGTAGGTTAATTGGATCCTGTCTAAAATTGGCCCTAGTATGTGTATGTATGAATGTGAGTTAGGGACCTTAGATTGTACGCCCCTTGAGGGTTAGGGACTGATGTGACTGTACAATATATATGTAAAGCGCTGCGTACGTTGACAGCACTATATAAGTACCTGAAATAAATAAATAAAATATCTATTACAGCACCAGACTTGAATTCCCTTAATTGCTTAGGCCCTGTCAGTGGGATTTATATGAGCTAAATCACAAAGTTATCTGTTTTGCAGGCTCTTTCTTGATGTTAGTTAAGTTGGTTAAGAGGTTCTGCAGTATTCTACCAGTTTGCTGAGAAGGATTGTTTAGAATGTGGCTATAAGGTTCTTCTATATAGGATATACAGCCCTGGTGTACTCTCTGGGGAGAGTATGGAATCCATTCCATGCCACCTTTACAGACAGAATTCTACTTGAGTCTAACCTGTGTCGCAAACCTGCCAACTTTTACATAATAATGGTGTTCCTGACTTCGTTTTAGGGTTGAGCAGATCTCATTATCATCACACTTCCTAAATGGCAGACCAGGTTGGAGGAGTACAGAGACGTACAGCCTTCTTAACCCTACTGCCAAGTTTTGCATCTAAGAATTACTAAACCAATTTTGCTATTTCACATTACTGTTTTTTATTCAAGGCAGGAAAGAGGTACTTCTTTACTCAAAGTGTCACTGGGTAGTGCTGATTCGTGTGAAGTGTAAGTTTTAATGATAGGTCCTCTTTAATATTCAACTCGTCATTGCAGGTTTACCATCAGCAATTAGAAAAGCCTTTACTTTATCTATAGCACTTCTATAATTCTAGTTACTGAGAAACTCAGGAGGAGGGGCAATATGGTATCTCTTGGAGAATTAAATGTAATGCAATTGTAAAGATGATGTTTTATAATTAAACCCTTTCTAGGGTTTCTAGGAGCAGTTTAATAAGTATTTTACTGGTCTTTGGCTGCACAGAGTTCTGATAAATGTGTGACGTTCAGATGGCTCTAAACATACATACATATTTGTAAGACTGTGGGTACATTCCACACAATCATATTTGGCAACATTGCCTAGTTCAAAACTGCTGCCAAGCAGGGGTACAGTGCAGCTACACATACCAAATAAAATATGAAATTGGTCCCAAGAGAAATGATGTGTAGAGTGTAGTAAGCCAAGCCTACTAACTAAGTTTAAAGTAAACCTGTGCTTTCAGGGCAAAGCAACAGGTTTACATCAACCCTCCCCTTTGCAGTGTACACCTAACTTACCTTTGCTTCCACAAACTGTACCAGACATTCAGCAGTCAAACGCGTTACTGCCAAATGTAAGAAATTATATAATATCAATGTGCAGCGCTAATAAAAATGTGTGTTACAATCGATGACCAGTGTGATTGTAATAAAGAAAGGAAACATCATAAAAAAGAAATAGGGAATTGTGAATACTCCAATGAAGAAACAAAAACAAATAACAAATGAAAATATATATTATTTCAGGTACTTATATAGCGCTGTCAATTTACGCAGCGCTTTTTACATATATATTGTACATTCACATCAGTCCCTAACCCTCAAGGGACGTACAATCTAAAGTCCCTAATTCACATATATGATACATATATATATATATATATATACATACATACATACACATATATATTAGGGCCAATTTAGACAGGAGCCAATTAACCTTCCAGCATGTCTTTGGAATGTGGAAGGAAACCGGAGTACCCAGAGGAAACCCACGCAAGCACAGGGAGAACATGCAGACTCCATGCAGGGGGCGCCATGGTTGGGAATCGAACCCATGACCCATTTACTGCAAGGCAGACGTGCTAACCACTAAGCCACTGTGCCGCCCCGTCCCTGTGCTGTCCTCTAAATATCATAATAGTCCCAAGAATAGTGATGTGATCAAATCAACAAAATGTACTGACTTCTGTGACTTCCGCACTGCACCTCCACCATAATGCACTCACCAGAAGTAAGTAGCAAGCAAGCCCAGAGCGGAATGACACTAAAGGGTGTTCCTGCTTGTTCCTCCTGCCGTGACCTGGTTGAAGGTGGGTTCTCTCCAGAAGCTAGTGATACACCAAATCAACAATCAAAAGGTAGAGTAGCTAAGTCAGCCCACAGTGAGCCTGGAGACAGTATCATATAGTGTAGTCTGTTTTATTAAAAAGATAGCAACCACGTGTAGCATAAACTCATCAATGGATAAAAAGCACTTACAAAGATGGCCGCCGGACCATCACGTGATCGCGGCGGAATGACATCAGCATGTAGGCTCCTCCCTGACACGTTTCGTGCGCACGCACGTTCTCAAAGGGATCCACCTAATATTATATATTACATTAATATATAAACAATACAACAAGAAACAGGGTCTCACCAGGAACAACAGGAGTATTTGGAGAATTTCAAAAAGGTATCCATAATGTTCTTTTTTTTCAAATTAATATGTTCATTTTTATTCAAGTCTCTGAAGTCTAGATAGGTAAAACAACCAGTGATTAAACAGACTATGTTATAATGATGTTTAAAATTTCTTGTAGGTTGCTAATGTTGCCCTTTGCACAGCAGTTGGAGGAGGAATACTAGCAGCAGCATTAGCCACCCTTGCTATTATTACAAGGAGCAGACGGCAGAACCAGTAGTGGCAAGGAAGAGTTACTGAAGAGTGACTACAAAAATGGTTCACCATATAAACTGTCAACTGCAAATGCAGGCAATGAGTGTTGACATTTTTATGTAATCCAAAAACGCATTTTCTACCTTTTCTAACAATATCACTGCAGCTGCAGACTTATCCATACTACTGTTGCCTTACCACAAATGTCTTCTTGAGATAAGAGTAAATGTAGCATGTAGCAGAACTATAGATATGGCTTCCTGAAGAAGGGACAGACAGCAATGGGGACTTGTATGCTACCTGAATGGACTTTATCTGAAGACTAACCCAAAGCAGAAAGTAAGAAAATATATTTTAGCACTTTAACACACCCAGATATACACCTATTTCTTTGTGTTTTGGTTTATGTTAAGTACTGCAAAAAATAGTTTTTTGAACCCTATTAATGAAAGCAGCCATAAGCAATAAAACCCTCTAAAACTTTTTAAAAGTATTATTCTTTACAACTAGTTGATCAGGACAATATGATGGCTTATAAAAGAGAACTAGAGCAGAGGGCCCTGGATTGTTGCCTGCAGCATCCACTCATTATCTAAAGCAGAAAAACAAAAGGAAATTATTCTATTGCCAATATCACTAATTATCTTTTGAATCTTTTAATATATACACACTGACTCTGTGTGCCTAGATATGTCATAATTTAATCCTACCAGTACCTATGTTTATAGTGTTAATTCTCTATTCCTGTCAATAGAATGTTCAATTTTCTTTTAACTATTTAAAAAAATGCAATATGTGTTTTTGATGCATGACTGCTATATAACTGTATAAAAAGATGATATACAGTACTTGTCTGTGCATGCTTTCATGGTGTGAATCCAAACCAGATTCTTATTGTGGGGTGACATTTGCTGGGTTAAGTTGCCCTTGTCATATAATCATTGTATAATTTGTGTGATTCTGCAAGACACTAGATAAGGAAGGAGTAAGTTGGTGTGATGTCTCTAACTAGCCCTGGATAAGATACATGGAAATGGCACCAGCTATCACATCTCAAACCTGTTTGCATCTTCCACTCAAATCACTTTTATCTAAAAGCCAGGTGCCCAATAAATAAAACAGAAACAAGCTTATCACTGTGTTTTAACCCCTTGACTTCCATTTCCACATGTTTATAGCAGTCAAACAGTTAAATCAAATGCTTGTAAACTTTAGACATGAAACGTGAAGAAAGCCCATATTTCTATAGTGTTTATTTGTCTCTGTCCAAAGCACTAAGTGTAATTTCTTTCTGCTGTCTAGTTCCTGTTTTCAGTTTGAGTCACTTTCAAAATGTTTTCTTCACACCAAGAGCTAAAAAGCTGACAGGGGAGGGATCTCCAGCACACTGCCTGTGATTGACAGCCTTAACTCTGCTGCTGTGAGCTGTATGAAGGAGGGTGTGTCCCTTCCCTTCAGTCAGCTGTCACAGCTTTTGCACAGTATATAACTGCAGGTCCACACCTCCTACTTTTGTGAGCCTGTGAAAAATAATTTTCATCTCTGAGTCTTAGACTTCAAGCACAAGCTTTAAAATTGCATCTAAGCTGTGGTTTTGCAAGCAGGTTTAGGCGTGTCAAGAGCTGGGAGTTTAACTGACCAGAATATTAATTTATTCTGGCCACTGAAATGAAAATCGCTCAAGCGCTAAACGCGCCTAGCGTTAGACACGCATTTACCCACATTTAGGCACATCAGGTGTTTTTTTATGCTTAAAAGCTCCTCTTCTGAATGAGACTTTAGTGTTTCTTTCTGCCTCTAAGGTCCTGTAAATGCCTGTAGTGTGTATAGACACATAGGCTAACATTGAGAGGAGTTTAGTGGCAGAGGAAAAAAACCCTCAAACACCTGTAAAAGCAGAGTTTTTGAGCTCAAGTGTGCATGAGGCCTAACAAGGATGTACAGGAAAATAGCTGCAAACAAACAGGTATAGCTTATGCAGGAGGATTTTTGTATCACCTGAGGCTAGTCACTTCACTGGGTATAAGGTGGGGTTTACAGCCACTTTAAGTCAATTACGAGAGAAAGACTGGCTTTGCTTTCCTCCTTCTACAAATGTTAGTTGATGGATAGTTCTGTTGACTCACTGACCTGAACCCTTTGTGAATCACCAGTGGCATTGCTATGGGGGTGTGCACCACACCCAGGTGACACCCACCAGAGGGTGGAACCAGGGCTGCCAACCATTCGTATAAAATATGGCAGTGGGATGCCTATGGGACAACAGAGTTGACTAGACTCGGACATGCTCGGCTACTTTTACCCACGTGGGGCGCATGCACAGTGAGTCAGTGACGTCATGGCATGTTTGAATGAATAACAGCATGGCATTATGGCAGTGGGCATGCCGCCCGAGTCCCATCGCGGAGCCTGAATCCCCGCCTCCACCATCCCACCGCCATGGCACTCTGAGCAGCACGGACATGGATTCCCTGAGACTGGATCCATACCCTGCACCAGCCTTCCATGGCTGCTGGAGACTTCAACCACACCACTGTGAGTATTGCCACATGGAGTCCCAGAGACCAGACTCCCACACCATCCATCCACAGCTGCTGCAGACTTCCATTCTACTGTGAGCATTGCTATAGCTATAATCTCTGGCTCTCTCTTGTATCATGTCCACAGTCTGTAACCATCTCTTGTATCATGTCCACTATCTCTGGCTGTCTCTTGTATCATGTCCATGGAGGGGGGGGGGGGTTGACACCATGTTTTAAAACAGCAGGTGACACCAACCCTAGTGACACCACTATGAATCCCTGACCTAGAATAAATATACAGCTAAGTTGGACGTTCTTTTTGGTATAATTTACCCAAACCTGCAAGCTTGTTTCAGGTGTGGGTAAACCCTTTTTTCAAAATTTCTGTAATATAAACTACCTGTATTTACCTACAGTATTTACCTAATACTACAGTATTCAAGCACATTCTTCTTTTCATTGTAAATGTGATATTTCATATCAGAAGACTCTATGTTGGTATTATTAAGGTGCAGAAACACAGACACAACACATTTTTCATTGGTTGGGAAATAACATTTCAGTGCAACATTTTTCAGGGACACCATTTTCAGTTCATAATTTCAAAAAAAGGCTTCATCCATACTGGTCTTTAATGACTTTAGTCATCCCACTGCAAGTGCCAGTGACATGACCAAGGAGAGCAGAGTAACACACTATGTTAAGTGGCAGTACAAGGGGGAAAGGCTCAGGAGGATACGCTGAAGGTGCAGTGGCCTGAATAGAGAGATTTGCTAGGCCAACAAATCCTTCCACAGAGGAAGTCAACCAATCAAACATCACTAGGATGGGCACTGTTGAGGCTCACCAGGAACAAGAATAGAACAGAGTACACTGGATATTGAAGATAAAACTTAATTTATTACAAAAAAATGTACTTATAAACAATAGCTTAGATTGGGGCATGTAGACCACCTTCTAGTTTACTGTCCACAAGAGCTGCTACCCACCCTTATATTAGTATCGCCCTGAAGTTATATAGATAAAGAAAATATCACTAAAGCACAAGAGATTCTAAACATAATGGATGATAGTCACATTATTTACTGACTTGCAAGGATGTCCAGGATACTTGATTGACATGATTTGTTGCAAATTATTCTGAACCTTTTAAGGTTGACATTCTTTTTTTTTAGTTTTTGGGGTTTTTTTCTGCTCACTATTGTTGAAAATGTATACCTCATTCTTCAAGAACACTGTGATGCTGGAGCCCTGCACTTACTTATAGTACCATCTAGTGGTGAAAGTCAATAACAACTGCCTGTTGTGCATGTTGTAGAGGCTAAATTCACCTTAACCCTAGGTTCACACCTAAGCATTTTCTGCAGTGTTTTGCAGAAACACAGTACGGTCCATTTAACATGATTTCCTATGGGACATGTTCACATTTGCGCATTTTCACCCAGTGCCTTTTTTGGAAAAGGTCAGGGATTTTTTTAATTCAAAAAGTTGCATTTTTGGTTCTATAGACTTTAATGGAAATGCTGCAGGAAAGCATGTATTGCTTTTTTACTGCATTTTTATGTGCTTTTTATGTGTTTTGCATTTTAAATCTGCCTAGCAACAAAAAATAACCACGCAAAACGCATAAAAAATGCATCAAAAGCGCATCAAAAACACAGGAGCAAAAACGCAAAATGCAATGCAGAAATGGCTCAAATGCAAGCTGCATAGGTGTGAACCTAGCCTTAGGCCTGGTTCACATCTATATGCATTGCAATCTGCAATGAGAAAAAAAGTCTCTGATCCTATCCAAAAAATGCAGCAGCTAAAAACACATAGATGTGAACATGTCCCATAAGTAATCATTTTAAATGGACTGTAGTGAGATTCTGCGAAATGTAAAAAGCACTAAAATACCTTATAGGTGTGAACCAGGCCTTAGGCCTCACACAAACAAGATTTTGTTTTCCTCCCCTGGTCGCCTCTGTTTCAGAGAGGAAAATGCAGCTCAACCCCTTGATGCCAACGTAACACAAATATGCGGCCTCACAGAACTGGGCTTTTTTCCATGGGTCCACATATTTGCGTACCTGTCTTTGCACTGGGAGCAGGGTGGATAAAAATCAATGATTTTTTTTTAAAAATCGGATTTTTTTTTATTTAAATCAGATTTTTTAAAATAAAATGCTTTTTGAGGAAAATATATTACCATCCAAAGGTGATTCCATCATGAAATAAAGATTAGTTTTTTAATTATGTAGAATAAGGCTGTATATGTTTAATTTTTTTGGTAAATAAATTCCATTAATCCATTCACAATGTCATGCTCTTCCAGAGGTTTTTGTAAGATTATTGGGCAGTTTCTCTGCCTACAAGATATTATCACAGATGCTTGGTTTACTTTTGCAGTTCTCAAAACTGAATTTGACTCAGCGGAGATCACATGCCTCTTCTTCACAGCAAAAATGTTATAATATGAACAGAGTTAAGAAAAAGACCTTAATCCTAACTTCTACAAACC